GATACTCTGATGTTTAAACTATTTTGAAAACGAGATGTATGAACTTAATGGTTTTTGAATGAATTAAAATGTTTTAGTTTGGCTCAAATTTTATTGGTGTTACAAATTCCATTCCTAATACCATGTTATAGTCGTCCATCGGTACGACTACTAGGTCAACGTTCCCTTCCCATTCCGCGATTTTCATGGGTACTCCCCGTGAAACTCCCAAGATAGGTTTGGAGGGAGAATTGACAACCTTCAATTGGCCTTCTTTTTTCAGGTAGTGGATTCCCAATCTCTTTGCTTCGTTTTCATAAAGGAAGTTGTGAGTCTCACCTGAATCTATTAGCGCTTTGGTATTTCCTCCATTCGACTTAGCTTCGACTAGCATGAGACTTCCTACCTTAGAACCACTCCCTTTCGATTCCCTTGTCTCGTCTTTTGTCATAGAGTTCAGAAGTCGCATGGAACTCATGTGAGCTTCTTTTTCTTTTTCTTCTTCTTGCAACACCATCGCATAAAATATCTTTTTCTTCGGACAGTCTCGGATCAAGTGAGGACCATCACACAAGTAGCACTTGATCTCCTTCCGTTCTTCCCTTCGGTTTCTTCCTTCGATTGCTTTTCCTTTCGTATTCAAAGGTTGGGGTGTGTTGTTTTGTTTTGGTTCCGGTTCTGACATAGTTTGTTCTCCCCCACTATTCTTCTTAACCGTGCTTTCTTTTCGAAATTCCATTAGATCTTCTGCCACGGCAATAGCTTCGTCGACGTCTTTGACATTTCTCCTCTTGAGCTCGTTGTAGGCCCAAGATTGTAGTCTATCCATGAAATAGAAAAGTTTGTCCTTCTCCTGCATGTCTGGTAACTCTAGCATCAAGCTCGTGAACTCGACTATATAGTCTCGGATGGATCCAGTATGCTTTAGCCCACGAAGTTTCTTCATCGCTATGTCTTCAGCATTATGTGGGCAGAATTGTCTCTTAAGTTGCCTCTTGAATTCTTCCCATGTGTCTATGGTATACAATCCTTTTTCAATATCATCGTGCTTCCTTCGCCACCATAGAGCTGCACTCTCGCATAGATAAAGTACCACTGTATCTACCTTCGTCTTGTCGTCCTTCACTTGACTAGCATTGAAGTAGCATTCCATCGACCAAAAGAATTCGTCAAGTTCTTTGGGATCGCGTTTACCTCCATACTTCAATGGTTTGGGTGCTTCTGTGTGCGACAACGTTCTCGCAATGGTCCCTCTGGCGATTGTTACCTTGCACAAGTTTACTTCGGCTTGTAATGCGTCTACCTTCTCACGGAACTCATTCCGCAAGGTGTTGATAATTCCAAGGACTTCTTCCTTGATGACACCGACTCCTTCAATCCATCGCTCATGTCACTTATCTCAGCAACGAATTGATCGACAGTATCCGTCCACTCAAGGATCTCGCCGACGCTAATCTCCACCTTTGTAAGCTTGTTTTCTAAGCTTGCCAAAGGGTCAACGGATTGGTCCCTCCTCCTGGACTTCCTTCCTTTCTCTTCAACGACAGGGGGAATGTTAGCTACATCACTTCCTCCTTCCATTGCTACGATCTCTTGCTCGTACGAACTCTAGCTCCGATACCACTTGTCACGGGATGACTCTTTTAAACTAGTCAATACCGTGTGCCACTTAGTGCTTCTCCGACTAAGTCAGGCTAACTTCGACGATCTAGATGTACTAACGAACTTAGGAAGCAAGAGTTACGACAAGGGACACTTCAAGAAAGCTTCTATTATATAACTCAACTTCTTTACAAGGAAACTTCTCGATGGTTTGGGCAAATGAGCCCTTCTCCCTATTTATAGGAACCTTACACCTCCTCAAATGGAAGTTTCTAGGTCCCGATCATTCTTGACTAATCTAGACTCTTCCTATTATATACACGGATTTTACAAGACTCTAGAATATGATATACTTGTCTACGATGTTCTAGAAATCTCTAGGCCGTCCCGACATTATCCAAATCATTATTGTATGATCTAGCGTGTTCTAGATCGTTCCAAAGTCTTCCGGGTCGTTCTAGCTTCGTCTAGTGCCTTCTTGATTATTCCGGATCGTTCTCCTTTGTTCCACGGACATCTATAATATTCTAGTATCTTCCAAGGTCCCGTAGAGCATTCTTGATCTCTCCGGATACTTCTCGAGTATACTTGATCGTTCCAGAGTTCTCTAGATGATCGTGGAATTTTCCAGAAACTCGGTCCGTGACATATAGGGTTGCTTTTAGGCGTGGAAGATTTACTTGAAAATCATGCCTCCCAAAGAACGTATATGTTGTGATGCATTAGGGCACATAATGAGGATTTCAAGAACACACATCATCCTCGATAGGCCTTCTTGATCATTCAAATCTAATAAAAACGTCCATCTCCATACTTGTAAACAAGATCTATCAATTGCACGTACTATTACTCTCATTATCATATCATTTATATCATCCACCCCTAAATTGTTTTTGATCAAATTACCAATTATAATTAGTTGTGATGTTAAGATACTCTTGACACACACATGACCTTTACCAACTAATATAAAGTCTTAAATTTTTATCATTGGGAAATGATAGTTGTTGTCACTAATAAACAAGTCTCACCAAACCCCTCATATTTTAGATTTCCTACCTTCGTTCACCAAAACTGTTTGTTGAGCACGACATGGTCAACTCTAATGATCTATAGGTATACACATATTCTGACTATTGTGTATATTTGTTTTCTTTTTCATATTGGGCTAGTGTGTATGGTTTTTATGTATATGCACATAAGCTATTCATTGTTAATTTACCATAATTCCCAATAATACATCACATAAGATATAACCATAGCACTTGTCCATTAAACAATACCCAAGCCCACAATTTAGCTTTTTCTATTGATACTTTTTAAATACTTGAGGGGTTGGAATTTTGTTATTTCGTAGGTTTGACTTGTAGATATAATAACCCATTTTACATCGAGGTATAGGGTTCTATTCAACTTGGTTGAAAGGTCTAGAACGAGTTTTTATTCATTTTATACTTTATAGTCATAGATTGTTTTAATATATATGTTGATTGGTCATTTTGGAAAAGTCACTTGATCAACATATAGGTTACCATGTTATCCATAGTCAAACACTCAAAACTGCTACAGATACTTGATTATAAGAAAACTTTGTAATAGAATAAACTCGACATAAATATTTAATCAAGAACTTTGTAAATTTGAAGAATATAAGTACAAATACAAGGTGGAAAATGGAAATATATGTAATTAGTCATGACTTAATACTTTTAGTTGACGGATTTCTGTAGTCGTCAAACTTAAAGGTGTCCTGTTCTAGAGGGGGTCCTTCCTGTTTTGTCTTTTTGAAATTCTGGTCTAATTTCGTGGGTAGAATTGTAATATAAAAGTTATATAATTTGTACAAATAAAAGTCAGAGACAAATTTCAGGTACCATGATGACAACAACAACAGCCAGTGTCATTTATTTATATATTTATTTAGAGTTGCGTAACACAGGGGCATCAAAACAACATTTGACTTTCTGAATTTCGTATAACTTGCAAAGCCTGATGGATGCAGGAAGCAACAGTTATTTTTTATTTTATTTTTAATTTTTTATGTGCCTATATAGCCTCAGTCAACCGTATTTATTATAAAAATTTAAGGTAAATTATCCTAAAAATACATCGACACCATTTAAAGGATCATGTGCATGTCCCAATACACTGCATATACACAGGAGAAGCCTCCTCCGTTCATTAAAGACTAACAAAAATCTTAATCCATATTTGGAAGTTTAGAATATCAAAATAACCATACTTTTAATATTTATCGCAAAAACACAATCTATTTAAGCAAAAGTTTGCAAATTTGCAAGTACTATTTCTCTTGCCAAAAGACTTGTTTTTTCCTGAAAATATGGTGAATTTTTTGAATATTTAGCTTGTTTTATATATATTCTTTTGTGCATTTTCAATACTTTTGCGAGTTTTATATATTTTGTGCAAGGTTGAAAAAATCACAAAGTTGGGTAATAAGAATATTTTTTGAAAATGTTTAACTAACAAGGTGTAGCAAAAATAATTAAGATATATGATTTTGAGGATTTGGAACTATGTTATGAGTTTAATATCCCACAACGATAATAAAAATCTGTCCCAACTCATGTGTGAATTTTCCCAACTCATAAGTAATAGTTTTTTATTTTATTTATAACACCAAATATCAAAATATTCTAAATTTCTAATAAAAGAAAGTTGAGAAAACTAATCAAGTGGCCTCTACCTCTAACCCAAATCTCTATAAAATTGTGAAGCCAAAAGTTTTTATATGATGCATTATCACCATACCTTTATTTTTTTTGTAATTGTCAATGGAGGAATAAGTATCGATTTGAAAAAGAAAATTAAAAAACATATAAAGAGAGTATCTTTTTATCTCCACTTGGATTTTTTTAGGTCATTCTTTCTATACGAGTCCTGATTGGGTAATAATGCTTTCTTTATTTTCATTTATTTATCATTTTCCATTTTCCATTTTCCAATTATTTATTTCAAGTCTTCCCCACCCCACCAGCACTTAAAAACAAACAAACGTTTGTGAATTGTGAATTGTGAATTGCGATTGTGAGTATAATGGTTTGATTTGATAACCCAATAACAAATTACACATCCAAACAGAAAAACCCACCACCAACACCATCATCATTATCACCATCGCCACCTCCACCACCACCACCAAACAGCCGCCCCCATTCCCAACAATTCATTATTCAAATAAAGTAAACGCTTCCATGATCACGATCATAAACCAAACGATTAAACTCACTCACACCCTTGATGCCTTCTTTCCCCTTTTTTAATATTGCTCCTCGTCAACATCCACTTGTCTCCTCCTTCATCAATGGATCATCATCATCATCATTCACTCGTCTTCAACAATCTCTCTTATTCTTCCTAATCCCTCCTCCCATTTCTTCTTATTCTCTGCAGCCATCATGCTGCCGAAACCAAAACCAAAACCCCTTTTCTTCTTCTTCTTCCATCTGGGTTTTCTTCGATTGTTGATTATACTTGTGTTTCCGATACTACTTACAGATGCCGCTTGTTCCAGCTCTGATCGCGATTCGCTACTGTCATTCGCCGCCAACTTTCCCACCCTCAATTGGACTGCCGCCGTCGATTGCTGTTCATGGGATGGGATTGATTGCGATGATACAGGGGATCGGGTGGTGGAGTTGTCGTTACCTGATAGAGGTCTTCGTGGTGTAATTCCTTCTAATCTTCAATCTATCAACACTCTCTCTCTCCTAAACCTGTCGTGTAATTTCCTATATGGTTCCCTCCCCGATGGACTTTTCTCCTCTATGAACAACCTCCGCACCATTGACGTGAGCTACAATAGGCTTTCTGGACAGTTACCGGACATCTTGCCTCCTACAATCCAATCGCTCAATTTCTCCGGTAATCGTTTCAATGGCACGATTCAAGCTGCGTTTTTCCAGTCAACTCCAAGCTTGATTGCTCTCAATGTCAGCAACAATAGCTTCACTGGCGTCATTCCTCCTTCTATATGCGACAACTCACCGGGATTAGTGATTCTCGATTTCGCTTTGAACGACTTCACCGGAATTATCCCGTCAGGGTTTGGTGCCTGTTCTAACCTCCAGGTTTTGAGTATGGGTTTTAACAATCTCACAGGACAGATTCCGATAGATATCAACGGCGCTCGATCGCTGCAAGTCTTATCCTTACCCGGAAATTCTCTTACGGGAGAGATTGATGAAGGCATTACTAATCTCACCAACCTCAAGAGTCTTACCTTGTTTGGTAATTCGTTATCCGGCGACATCCCTCGCAATATCGGAAAGCTTTCATTCCTGGAAAGATTGGAACTTCACATTAATCGTCTCAATGGCACTCTCCCTCCATCATTGATGAATTGCACAAAGCTCAAACTGCTAAATTTGAGGGTCAACTTCTTAGTCGGCATGCTTTCGGAGTTTGATTTCTCCAATTTTAGTCAACTCACCATTATTGACCTCGGTGAAAATCAATTCAACGGAGTTCTACCAAAAACCCTTTTCACCTGCAAATCACTTACCGCAATTCGACTGGCCAATAATAGGCTAGAAGGAGAACTGTTGGATGATGTTCTCCAGTTACCATCGTTATCCTTCCTCTCGCTTCCAAACAACACCCTGAAGAACATCTCAAACGCATTCAATATTCTGAAACAGCACCAGAAGCTCGCCACTCTGATTCTCTCCAAGAACTTCTTCTACGAAACCCTACCCGACGGAGAAATGTCCGGGTTTTTAAAACTTAAGATTATGGGGCTAGGTGGTTGCAAATTGTTTGGTCAAATTCCGACATGGCTGAGTTCGTTACAGAAGCTCCAGGTAATCGACCTCTCTCAAAATAACATCAATGGCACAATCCCCGGCTGGCTGGAAACCCTACCAAATCTTTTTTATCTCGATTTATCTAACAATTCTCTTTCTGGAACCTTCCCTATTGAGCTTACTAGACTCCCAGCACTTGGCTCACAACAAGTGCTCGACCATGTAAACAGTAGTTACTTAGAACTCCCTGTATTCGTCCAACCCCAAAACGCTTCCTATTTACAATACAACCAGCTCGCCACCCTCCCGCCGGCCTTATACCTAGCAAGCAACCACCTCACCGGCGACATACCAGTTCAGGTCGGTCATCTCCAGTCAATTCACACCCTTGACCTCAGTCGAAACAATTTCTCAGGCACCATTCCAAGTTCAATCTCAAATCTAACAAACTTGGAAAAGCTCGACCTCTCTTACAATCTCCTATCTGGTGAGATCCCTTCTTCACTTAAAAGCCTCAACTTTCTATCTTCTTTCAATGTCGCAAACAACAATCTTCAAGGTCCTATCCCTACCGGAGGCCAATTCGGGACCTTTATGAGCCCAAGCTACGTAAACAACCCAGGGTTATGCGGCCCTCCCATCGACACCCTTTGTGGGAACCAAAATCGATCAAACACAACAGATTCTTCACGCAGAAAAGGCCCCAACAAGAAAATGATAGTCGGACTAATTTTAGGCATCTGTTTTGGAGTTGGCATCACTTTAACTTGTGTCGCGTTATTCATACTATCCAAAAGACGGATCCTCCCAAGAGGTGACCCGGAGGTCTTCCACATGGATATGACCTCCTTCAATTCCACGTCAGCAGTTGAAGTCCCTAAAGACACAAGTGGAGTCATTTTGTTCCCAAACAACATGACTCCAGACACCAAGAACCTAACAATTTCAGACATCTTAAAAGCAACTGACAATTTCAGTCAAGCAAACATAATCGGGTGTGGTGGATTCGGCTTAGTCTACAAAGCAACTTTACCAAATGGAACAAAACTAGCAGTCAAGAAACTCTCAGGAGACATGGGTTTAATCGCTAGAGAATTCAAAGCAGAAGTGGAAGCATTATCAACAGCTCAACACAAGAATCTCGTATCCTTACAAGGTTACTGTGTACACGATGGATGCCAGCTGTTAATATATTCCTACATGGAAAACGGAAGCTTAGATTTCTGGCTACATGAAAAGACAGATGGAGCATCAAGACTCGATTGGCCAACAAGATTGAAAATCTTGCAAGGTGCAAGCTGTGGACTTTCTTACATGCATCAAGTATGTGAACCACATATTGTGCATCGTGACATAAAGTCAAGCAACATTCTTTTAGATGAACAATTCGAAGCATATGTTGCAGATTTCGGATTATCTAGACTAATTCATCCCTACAATACACATGTCACAACCGAATTGGTGGGTACCCTGGGGTATATTCCACCTGAATATAGCCAGTCATGGATAGCCACTTTAAGAGGAGATATATATAGTTTTGGGGTTGTCATGCTTGAGCTACTCACCGGAAAAAGACCCATGGAGATTTTCCGGCCAAAAGCTTCAAGAGAATTGGTGGTTTGGGTGAATCAGTTGAGAAGAGAAGGGAAACAAGATGAAGTGTTTGATACCCTTTTGAAAGGTAAAGGGTTTGAAGAAGAGATGTTGCAGGTTCTTGATGTTGCATGCATGTGTGTGAATGTCAACCCTTTGAAAAGGCCAAGTATTAATGAAGTTGTTGATTGGCTTCATAATGTTGAGTTCAATAATCAGATACCAAAGCCTTGAAGAAATTGGAGTTTTTCATTGTGTTGTCAATGTCACTGTAATTAGTTGTCTTGCTTTTTTTTTTTTTTTTTTACCTTTTTACCTCATGGCAATGCATTTATGTATAAAGAGAAACATCTCAACCTCATACAATTTTCAACTTTTTTAGCAGTGTCAACTTTGTTCTGACACTTGCTATCAGAGCTAATTGTATATGTATGATACTAGCATCATATTCATAGCCATAGGCTTTAACTCTGGTTATGTTTAGACACTTTTTTGTATAATCACATGTAATGTTTGATTATATATACTTTTGGATGACTTTAGGGTGTTACAGTTACACTATTATGTTCAATTTCATACTATATCAAGTAAAGATTGCTTCAAATTTCTGCAACTAAGTTTGTACAATAAGAAAAGAAAGAAAATATCCCAATTTTCATCATAAGTTTTGGTACATTATTATTTATTCCAGCACTTATTAAATCAGCTGATGAGAGTGCTTTACATAATATAAGTAACAGTAATTTTATTTTCCACATGAACACACACATATAGATACATACGTACATACACACAAGATGTTATCTTTCAACCTTACGATAGCTAGAGTCCTTCATGTCGGCCATGTCCACCGTTTCCAGTCACTGTCAAAACCTCAAATTTTCCTCCGATCAAATGCCCAAAAAACTCAAATGGAAGCGTTCCATTTGGGTCAAAAAAGAGATAAAAAGGGCAAATAAAGAGAGGTCAACATGAACAAGACGAAACCAGGAAATCAGAAGATGTAGTGAGAGAAGTGAGAAAGGGTTTTTTTGTAGTCATAATACCAACAGCTTTCCTTCCAATTCCAACTGTTGGTGCTAAAAAGGACGAGATTAGCACTTAATTTAACATATGCCAACGAAAAAAGAGACGTGGGAGAAAGGGGTTTGAGACATTGAGACAGATTTTTAAGCAGTATATGCATAGAGACATCTGTTTGATAAGAACTAATCATCTCCCTGAATATACCAACAAAGCAACATGGTGGCGCAACGACGAAGGATGTAAATACGAGCGCGTTGTTTCTTCACCAAAGTAGCACACTTTCTTGTGATTCCATTACCTTTTCTTTTTGTTTCCATTTTTGAGTGTTTTCGAAAGAAGATTTGGGAAAAAAAGCCACACAGAAGTGAAGCTGGACCCTGAGAGGTAAAGTGTATGAGGGAAAGATGTATTTATAGATGGGTTAGCATCGAAAACCGTTGGCTTATTTGCATGGAAAAGAGATGAGGAGTTTAAGTTCAGCATTGATTGTTTTTTGTTTTTTATGTTAAACAGGGAAGAAATCAAGGCGAAAGGGGGGTGAATCAGCGAATGCATTCATGCGGACTTAATAGTTTAATCACTTAATTCAGACGCCGTGAAAGAGAGAAGAGATTGGAAGCTGTGAAGGGTTGTACTGTACAAGTGAAAGGAGAGAGATGTGGAGTTTTTGAGTAAAGTGGAAGGAAGTGAAATGGGAGGGAAGGATGTTGTGATGGAATTTGGGATGCGTAGTGGGAACATGGTGTCGGCTTATTTGCCTTCACAAGTTATTACTTTATATCTATTTGCATTTCCAAGGCCATCTGTCATCACAAACACAATCTTGGATTGGTGAAATTAAAATCCCACAAAATGTTGCTACTAAAAGTAAAACACGTAACATTTTTTCTCTCATGTCTACCACATAGAAAAAAAAATTGAAAGAAAATTCATAATCCCACAATCATATGTCCATCTAGAGTTGAACCTCCATACCTTTCATATGGTGGTGGTTCCCCACACACATATGTAACATCCATAGGGGTTCATTCTCACTAAAATAAAATGTGTGGGTTGGAGGATCGACAATTATAGTATACCAGTTTTTTTCCCCATAATTGTAGTCTCTGAAGCTCATTGTTAACCGGTTTTAACAGACCTTTAAACACATGTGTAACCTCTTATACAATAGATACTAAACCGTAAGCTTGTTTGATGAGATACTTTTGGGGTTTGGGATATTGGTGTTTATTGAAGAAATTTTTAAATGGTAATCTTAAAGAAAATCATGAATTAACTTATTAAAACTTGTTAAGTTAAGAGTGCTTTATAAAATTTTCCTTTTTTCCTATTTTTTGGAAAAAAAAAAAAAAAACAAGTCATCGTTCAAGCCTGTGTTAGTGTGTGATTGGAAATTCGGACAATTTCTTTCAAAATGTTTTAATTCTCAAGTGGCTACAACTAGATCATCTTAAGGGTAGTTATTTATTATTCTTTTTATTTATAAAAGATTCAAATAAATTAAAATAATGTATTTGAAGTATGAAGTATGAACTCTAATATGGCTTTAAACAATACAAAATAAAGATTTATGCAAACCTAATAAAAATATAAAATCTCTTGTAGATAATGTAAATAAAATATAGATGTTAAACTAATAAATCATTGTTATTCCAGTTATTATAATCAAGTATTGTTTAGTACATATTAAATAGGTTTTGTTTTTTTGTATAATAAAACTTGTTTATAATATATAATTGTTGTTAATAAATTAGTAGATATATTCCTCAATGTGCTTAATCTTACAAAAATATAATGAAACTAATAATACTTGTCGCTAGTTTCCAACAATACATAGCTGTAATGTTTAACTTTAGTTTTAACTCAACTGAATAGAATAAAGGAAATTTGATTCTACTGGATTTTAAAAGATCCTCTAAAATTTTGACATGTAAACAATGAGATTTGCCTATTTGGTAATCCAATTTTGACTTTTCAACACATTAGTGCTTCTGTCATAACTTCCACAACCAAATCTTTTCTCAATACATAATCTCTACCACTTATCATCAAATACAATATTTTTGCTCAAATATCCAAAAAAGACAACTGTATTTAAAAGGTCAAATGAACACAACCCTATGCATCATGCAACTCTCAAGTATTGTTCAAATTCAATGAATCAAGAATCCATTGACAATCACCTAAACCTTACTCTTTAAGCATTCTACTTTACTTCATATTATCATCAAAATCCCACACTTTTTCTGTATTTCACAAGCAATTAGACTTCTGTTACTTGATTAATAAATATAATTAACACGACAAATTTATCATCTAAGCACTTAACAATAATATGCATTTCTTCTTTTACAAATAAAAGAAAAATCATGTAAACAAGTTTCACTTTGGAATCTTGAATTCTTTAAATGTTTTTTTTTAATGTTAGACAAGGCTTGCCTCAGCAACCACTTCACCCCGTGTAGCAAGCATCTCATAATCCTAAAAAACATAATTCAAAAATCATTTACCAATTATAAGTTTATAAAAAACAACCTACTTTTATATATAGAATTCGAACTTACTTGTAAAATAGCTTGTGCACAAAATTTTCCAGATAAAACAGCACCTTCCATTGAAGCTAAATACTTTTGTTTAGTATAATCACCAGATAAATAAAACCCTTGAATTGGAGACCTTTGTAGGGGTCGACATGGTTCACAATCTGGAACAGTTTTATAAACAGACCTTGGTGTTTTAACAACTTTATATTTCAAGATTTTTGCTTTACTTTGATCAGCTGCAATTTCATCAGGAAAAAGCCTTGAAAGTTCACTCATTGTTGCATCAATAATATCAGTGTCACTTCTTGAAATCCATTCCTCAGCTGGAGCAAAAACCAATTCCAACATTGACTTATTCGGATCATAATATTCCTTACATGTCACTGACATGTCAGCATACACACTCAGCAGAGGTGACCTACTGAAAAGTAAGTGATCATATGTGTTTTTCAGCTTTCTGTCAAACCTGAAAATAGTTTCCAAAAACTGATTACACAAAACGGTTATAACATAAAGTCAAAGTCAAAGTCAAAGCCAAAAACTAACCATATATGAACGTTTATAACTGGAACACCGATTAATTTCTCCAATTTTTTGAAATATGGAATTGGTTTCCATTCTTCAGGTAAAAGAAGCTTGAGAATGTCAACTGTTTGATGCAAAATAATCAATATAAGTGGACCCCACATTCCAAAAATACATATTATAAAGTGAAATATTTGGAAACATACCAGGGGTAGCGAAAACATAAGCATCAGCTTCTAGAACATTCCCATCACTCAATAGAAAGTTCCGGACAGTTCCATCTTTGTTTAACTCAATTTTTTGTATCCGTGAGTTGAGTTTGACTTGGCCACCGAGTGACTCGATGTGGTCAACAATTGGCTTGCAAAGTCTTTCTGGTGGACTTCCATCTAAAAATGCCATCTTGGAACCATGCTTTTCCTGTTGATTAAAAAAAAAAGATTATTGTTTGTTTTAACTTTTAAATTACTTAATTGGTAAAGGTTTAAGATGATAATGAATTTACCTGAAGAAAACGGTTTAGAGCAATGAGAATACATTGCATTGAAAGTTCATCTGGATTTATAAAGTTTAATGCTTTTGACATTGCAATAAACACTTCAGTAGTAACTCGATCTGGTATGCCCTAGAGAAAATAAGAAAAAAAAAAAAAAAACATTAATTAACCAAAAATCCTCCCATAAAAAAGCCTAAACTAAGGTTTAAGAACCCTAGATGTAAAAAAAAATTACTTAAATATTTACATACTTGCTTTCTCATCCAGTCCTGAACACTAAGCCCATCTTGGGCCTCAACATAAGCCTGTCCACCTAACATTGCAGGCAACAGCCCAATTGCAAACTTCACTTTCTCAGGCCACGTCAGCATTTCATTGTTCCTCAAGATAGCAAAAATTCCTGAAATACCATGTAGAATTACATCTTTTAGGGTCATGAAAATAAAAAACAAAAACAAAATTTGGCATTTGACTAAAATAAACACATCATACTTACTTACCATTCAATGGTGCAGGTAAAACATCTGGGAAGTCAAACCTACTAAATTCTCCAGGCTTATTTGGCATTGCAAATATCATAGAATGCTCCTTCCACTGTAATCTATCATTAATTCCTAGCTCTCCAAACAGGTTTTGTACATTTGGGTAAGCTCCAACTTCAAGAAAATGAAGAAAGTCACTGTGTATTAGGTATCTAGTTACATTACATATGTCCAAAATTTGCTTCAAGGGTAATAAGAAAGGTTGAAACTTACAGAATATGTGTAAACCTGTCTCATACCAATCTCCATCATCATCTTTCCAAGCTGCCACCTATGTGGGAAGAAATATCAAATATGAAACATCAATTTGAGAAGAAAATGAAAATAAAGATAGAAACTTTATAAACCTTTCCACCAAGAACATCTCTTGCTTCTAGTAAAATTGGCTTGTGACCTGCATCAGCTAAATACTTAGCAGTTGATAAACCAGCTAAACCTGCACATGCATAATGTGAAAAAGTTAGTTAGATAACAAACTACATGTTAGTAGAGATAACCATTTATAAATACATAATCTTTAGTATAAATTATAAAGTATAATTAGTTTTACCTGCACCAGCAATTACAATCTTCAATGGCTTAGATGGGCGTGGGGAAGTTCTGAAGGTTGAAGACAAGTAAGCAGCTTCCAAGAAATTAGATGTGTTATCAAGATCTGGTCTTGGATAGTCAACACAAACTACCTATTGGATTATTAGAGATACATTTGTTCATTAACTTGATACTATGAAGTATGAACAAGAATCAAATTCATGTTGTTAGATAAAGCCATAAAGGTACCTTTAGAGGGGAGACATACTTCTTTAATCTTGGTGTAAAAGAACGGGTACTTGGGAATTGCAATCTGTTACCCATAGCATCACAGCATCCAAATGACAAAACATCCTTTTGCCCTGAGGTAATCTTGAAACAATCTCTTGAAGTGATCTGTGTGCTTGAAAGATTCATTACTATACACTTTCCACTTGAGTTAATGGCAGAGACATTTCCAAACAGAGACATATCACCTCACCAAACAAACACCCAATTTGGGTTCACCACAACAAGCTTTTAGGGTTAAAAGGTCAACAGTAAAAGCCCTGCCATTATAAAACTTGTAAGCATCCTCAGCTTCATTTAGAGAAGTATGCAGACAGGTTCTACTCTTTCTCTCACTCCTTCTGATGAACTAAATAAGTATTGAAAAAGTTGAGAAAGAAGAAAAGGAATTCGGAATATTCACTTTCACTTTCAGTATCCCTACCTTGTGAATATCAATTAAGCTTCTTTCACTTCTTAAATTGAAAATAATCGTTTTTTAATAAAACTTTATAATCGGATCAGAAAGTAGAATAAGTATTACTAAAGAACTCGATTTTAAAATACTAAAAAGGATAAGTGATACTTGTAATTCTGATAGCTGCAACTTTGACTTTGAAATTCGATGGATAATCAACTAATAGAGGACGAAAGGAGTGATAAAACTGCTCGCCGACTTCTGATTATACAGTTAAATTACAAAATTCGCAAACAATGGAACAAGAGATAATCCCCCTAAAATTTATGCCATACACATACATAATTTATTACATCCTTTCAATTTGAACTAAAACACAGTAAGATTAAACGAATTTTTGATGATGAAAACATGACAGAAGAAATGAAGAGGAGCAATGAGCTACTTTACCTTTTGTTATAACTGAATGGATGTTATGGTGGGTGGGAGATTTGAGGTACAATCTGACTGTGTGGGCAAGCAGACGTGATGATTGAGACGAGAGTTGGAGGTGCTTCAATGGAAGAGAAGAAGATGGAAAGAGAGAGAATGGGGGATAAAAATAGGCGTTCAATTTTGGGATTGTTTTTGGCTTCTTTCGTTGTTGGAACTTCGTCAGCCATGGTTAGGAATATACCGTCTACAGCTTAACTGCAACGGATGTTTTAAAAACAATTTCTATGATAACAATAAATAGTAAATTACATGAATGCTCCCTAGGGTTTATGACAGCGAGTACGTTTGGTCTATAATTATTTTCTTAACTTGAATCATTTGATTTTGTTATACGTTTGGTTTCTACCTTAATCTAAAATAACTATATTCCCCATTTGTGATTATTTAAAGCTTCATTTTATTGTTTTGAACTTATACGTAATATAGGGTCCACCTCTTTTATGAAACAATCACATTGTCTTTTTCAAGTTGCGTTGTTAGAAAGTCGACCAACCAATAGCCTTATGTCGCCGTTCTCTAATTCTCAACCATTTCGTTTTGCCTCTCTTTACTCCGCTACCTTTTTCTATTCTAGCTTTGAAGAACCCAGATAATCAAAGATTTAAGTTTGATGTATAAAAAATCAGGCTATAAGATTTTGTGTCGATGTTGGTTTGGATCGATTTTGGTTAGGATTAAGGTGGAAAATTAAGGAATCAATTAGCCAAAAGACAAGGAAAATCAATCAAGGAAGAACGAATCCTAGACAATTTCTCCCATCCATGGGTACAATAGTAACCTCCCGATATTTTTATTCTTCAACCTCCATGAATGTTTCTATGTTACAGTCTTAAGTATTGAGTTTTTACGGGTCTTATCTAAAAAAACTTCCTCACAAAAGCAATTAACAATGATTGCAAACAAATTTTGTTTTTTTCATGACTACACAGATACAATTTCATACATGTAATGTAAACCTACACTGCACATGATAGAGATAAGTATTTGGGGGATACCCCTACGTTTTTTGTGTTTTGGAGGGTCATGCATTCCAATCGACCTCGTTTTCCACACCAAAATAGTGGAGATGAATGTGAACGACCAAAACTTCAAAATAGAAAAACACATTTCTTATTAGATTTTATAGGGGTAGTCATTCGATAGGGATGTGACGGATTTTGGTGATAAGTTTTTGGTAAGTGCATAAGAAATGACGATAAGGTAGGCGGTGAGTTCCGACTAGATGTAGCGGCTGCGGTGGTTTCCGAAAAATGGAGAGATGAATGAGGTGTGTTGATTTATGTTTGTTTAGGCCATTAGGAGTGGTAGACTCATGAAGGTGCCAAAGAGGGTAGTCACCTCATTAGAACATCATTCCACCAACACCAAGGATGGTGTTTATGCATGAAGAAAAATATATATATATATATATATATATATATATATATATATATATATATATATAGAGAGAGAGAGAGGGGTGGAAAAAGAGAGAGAAAGAGATATATTCTCTCTTTTTCTTTTGTGATGGTTTGTAACCCACCTCACGCCACACCACAATTACGGGACCTTAGGATGGTGTTCACGAATAGGATTGGGTGCCACATCAAATTTACAGAAGGTCCATAAAAACCATACCCGACGAAGAAAGTGATAATGGGGGTGGGACTCATAACTTTTATCAAATAATTATCTAATATGTTACTAATAGTTAAATAATAAACTAATTAAAAAGTGAATAGATAAAAGCAATATAGTAACTTTATATACGATAGAGACGAAACATTTAACAAAATCAAATTATCAATTGAACCGAGTTTAAAAAAAAAAAATAATAAAATAAAATAAAAGAAAAAAAAAAAGTAGTTAGGGATCAAACAAACAAAGAACCCTAAATCATAAGGACCATTTGTATAATTTACTTAAGAATAAATAAATATATCACACTATTTGTGTTGTCAAATATCATGTTAATGAATGCAACATACCGGACAAAGTAGATTTTTTAGGGTTAATCACAAAAATGACGGAGTATGGAACATGTGTTACAATAAATTATTTGTATTTTATTAAAAGAAATTTCTAAATGATAAAATCCATTATCTGAAACTATTTTAATTTACCATTTTTTTTTTACATATATTGCTACAATGAATAGTTCGTGATATTTCTAAATTTTGCGAAATGGTTTCCTGACAATATTGGTGAATCTAGACTATTGAGGTTATAGAGAATGTCTCATAAGATTGTATTCTTTCCCAAACAATAGAGTTTTTGATTATATATTCAAGCATTTTGGGATAGGGTTATGCAAAATCTCATAAATTTTCAATTTTGTTTTACTCTTTTTCAACCATATTGTTCTTTAAATAGAAAATGAATTTATAATTCATGATATTTAAAGTATTTCTTGGATCTGGATGAGTGTGGAATAAAGCTAATAACATTTTTTTCAAAGTATGTGATGATTTATTGGATTTTTGTGAGGTGTAACCCAATATAAGTTGGCTAATTAAATGGCAAAAACAATTATGTTTAACATATCATCAGATCATTTATCTTTAGAATATCCTCAAGTCGATAATATGCATCACATTATCGGTTAGAAATATGAAGAACATGACATTGGTGACGACATGCATGTTGCAGTGCAAGTTGCATGGAGCTTGAAATGTATTAACCATCGTTGGCCTTGTTTTGACCAACAGGTTTTAATCCCAAAAATCAAGTTTAAGATGCCATTATGTTCCAACAACACAATTAAGAGCCTTAGGTGCGATTTTCATCCCATGGGTCACCATGAAAGCATTTTTACACTAAATAAAGGTAGAATCACAAACCAAAGCCATAATTCAATAAGTTTTTAGGTAATATTTCATCTCTAACCTATTTTTGGGTAAACTTGAATGAATCGATTTGTGTAAGTTTAAAAATGCATGTTTGGTATTATTGTTCTAAGTATTAGAATTATGCAATATGATTCAAATACATGTAGTTGTAGGTGTGTTTTAAGATCCTTTTACTTTGTTGACTTCGAGCCTAATTCACAAATTTGTTAGTAACTTCAACTTTTGAGCATAGAATATGTATTATATGGTGAATTTCAGCTCAATGATGATATATTGCATCAATCGGTTAAAGCTTACTTTAGTTGGTTTTGATGCAACTTTACAAAATTAGGCATATATTGTTAGTTCAATTTATTTATTTTAGAACGACTAATGCATGCACCAATTATCTTACTCCTAAGTCTATACATTTTGTCTCCAACGAGACTTGAACTGAGAGACACCTTTTCATCAACTCTTGGTATCACTAGGCTATAAGCTCTTTGGTTGAGTTTGCTTTACTTAGTACTAATGTTATGTAATACACTAAATTCGGAATCTATGGTGGAATTGGATGAAAAATGGGTGATTTGAAAAGTACATTATGTTGTTAAGGTGTTTAAACCAATAACTAAATTGGTATATACTTAAATATTAGCAAAGTCCTTTTGGGTTGCCTTCAAAACTAGTAATTGACTAGAATGACTTTTAAATATATATATATATATATATATATATAGAGAGAGAGAGAGAGAGAGAAAGAGAGAGAGAGAGATAGAGATTGATTGATTTATTATATGATTAATAAATAGCAATAAATGATTCATTGATATATTATGAGATTAATATATTAATTAGATAAATTATTATTTAATTAAGAATTAATAGAAATTAATTAGAACTAATTTTGGGATTAATTGGATTAATTAAAAGTGTAAGGACTAAAGTTGTAATTGTTCAATAGTTGGGCAAAGAAGAATTCTAGAATATTCTAGGGTTGGCCGAATTTTTGAGAGGCTCCTAGGGTTTCTAGATTATTCCATATGGATAATATTGGTAATTAGGAAGCTAGATAATTTCGAATTTAAAATAATATTATTTTATTTCAAATTAAGGTTATCTAGGGTTTTCTATCAACTATAAATATGGGGTCCTTAAACTCCCCATTTTCGTCTAAGCATTCATAGAAGAAAAAATAGTCAAAATTCTGCCTCCCTATCCTTTCCCCTCAAAGTTTTCTTAGTTGTTAAGGTTTGGGTGTGAACCATCAGAGGCACGAGATTTCTAGAGCTAGCTTCCAAGTCAATTCAAGAAGGATTCATTTGATTATTTACTAAACTAATCAATAAGGTATGTAAAACCTAAACCTTTTATAATTTTCGATTTTACTAAGTGTATATTAGGGTTCTTGATATTCAATAGATTATAGCATTCAATAGTGAAAACATAGATCCAATTAGGTTGCATGTGAACTTAAGAGTTAAGTTGTTTTCCACCACATGAATTTTATAACCTATAAAACCTATCAGTGGTATTAGAGCCCAATGTTTTCAATTGAATATGCATAATAGTTGAATACATCAAATTAGGGTTTATAGAAATTAAACCCTAAGGCTAGGGTTCTTGAAACCCTAGCCTCCTCCCTTGACTTCGAAAATCATTAAGTTTTATTAGGGTTTCCTTATTTGATAATTATTGTTTTAATTGCCTTAAAATAGAATAATTAAAATTGGATAACCCAATACCCTTAATTTTCAAAATTTAGTAAGGGTTGAATTAGGATTAAATTTATATTATTTGATTAATTGTTTAATAGTAAATAATTATTTAATCTGCATATGATTTAAATTAATTTAATTAATATTTAATTAGAGATAAAGATTAAATCATAATTGGTTTAATTTTAAAGTAAATTAATTTTTTATTAATTTCAAAATTTTAATATTAACCTAGTATTTTAGAAAAGTTTTAAAATACACCTTATATATACTATTAAAAGTTTAATATATTATATGTATAAGACAAGTCAGTGAAATCGCCATCCTCATTCACGAAACCATACTATAAGGGGGTATAAGGAAGCGGCCTATAAAATGACCGTCATTGGATGTCCACTCTCACCCACCGCTCCCTTGTATGGTGGATGGTTGTTAGCTGAACGGATTTGATAGGACATAATCTCATTACAAATATAATGATATTAAAAGTACTAGAACATTCTTTTAAAAATCTCACTCTAGTTACTTTAGGAAAAATGTGAAAAGTATACTAATCCATGAAATTTCACATTATGCTTTATATGTAGTTAGTGCAGCGTATGTGGTTAACCAGCAAACTAATAGTGACTATAAAGAGTAGTA